TTTCGGTCGCGCTTCGGTAATCGTGACGCTACCGAGCGTTCCCGACGGCGGTAGCGGACATTCCCGACTATATCCAAGATGGCCGCCAGCTTGTGCCGACTAGCTATTTTACTACTTTTCTGTCGCGCTGTGGAATATTTAGGCTGATCTAAACATCGGCAACCCGGCCAATTGTGGAGTTATATTGTAGGGAAGCTCGGGACAGCAAAAAACCGGGTCAAAAACGGAGCATCGTGCAGCCAACGGGAAATGTGCAGTTCTGCCAATGGATCTTTCCACGACTCTTGCTGAGGGTAATGCAAAGTAACTTGTAAGCCCGAATCAAGAGTCGCCACGGCTAACCAAGGACATTATACTGTGTCTAAAAAATTATGTCCTTGTTCTAACTAAGCAAGGAAGGAGGTTAGTCAATAAAGAATGTTGAAAAGAGAGAAATCAAAAACAATACTGTACGTTGCTATTTAAAGAGTAACAAAGAAGGGCACTGAAGCAAAGTTGGATGTAATTTTTTATAAGGGAAGCTTTAAAATTATACTGCTAGTAAACGCTGATAACCATGCATGCTCCACCATGTATATGCCCCCCTCCCCACACTAGCGCACCACTATCCTTCCATAATCGGGGGATTAAAGTAAACTCATCTTGTCCTACTTACCGCTGTGAGCACTCTAAAATCCTCCTTTGTCAAGTAACGCAACATAGTCACGTTCAATTTGCCCATTTTGATACGCTTACTGGTTTATCTACTCGCACAAACTACACAAATTTTCGCAATCGCGAAGACACATGCACATCTACAGTGGGGTAAAAGGTCAACCAAGTAGCCACGCCACCTTGCGACTTTGAAACGAACGGCAGCTTTTAGTTTCTGCTTTATTTTACTGATACATTGTATAAACCCAATGTTGCTGAAGTAGAAACCTTAATAAAATCTCCAGACAGCCATTTGGAAATGCATGACTGCCTTCCTAATTATTTAGCAGATCTCTCTCCTTATCTTGATAATTTCTGTGTCCATCCAGGCCATTTGTAATTAGTGTCACAAATCCACGTGCACTGCGGTAATTTGGTGTAACGTTATATGGACGACATGGGAGGAGAGCCCACTGAATAGACTCACTTTGAAGCCGGATCGAAGCCACTCTATTCGGCTCGATCCGGACAATTCTATCCTAGTGGGAAAAATGCCATAATGTTTTGGTGATCATTAGGCTCAATATTAGGCGGCACTTTGTTTCGAAGGAGTGTGAGTTATAACGTTATAACGTTATATGAGGAAAGACTTGGTCAAACAAAAAAAACGAGGGATCCGGGGTCAGAAAAAACTGAAAGTTTGATAAATACAATCCTCTACTTTTACAGGGATTAGGAAAGACGACCCCTATCTCCCCCTACCGTGACGTACGTTCGTCCATCAGATGATCTAATATGTCGAGCCTCCAATAAATAACGGCATCATTGCATTTTGCTACCAGACAATTCCCCCATGCAGCCCTTTCTTCGTGACGTCATTTATAATAATCCGTTAGGCTCTAATTTGTAATTGAATCGTTTTCATTTTGTCGTCCGCTGTCGTATTCACTGGTTGAGGTGATTCGTCAGCGCGGACGGACAAATACCGCGGCCACGCGGACAATAAAGGCCCGGTCACACTGGCGGAACTTTGCTGGAGCGTTGCTTGAACGGTGAATAAAATTCATCACCGCTCGAAACCGCTCACCACCGCTAAACAGAAGTTGGCCACCGTTAAAGCAACGCCGTGTACGCCCGGCCACCGCTGACGTTTCTGGAGGCTCCCTCCTACCGCTCCGAAAGTTTTGAGCTGTACAAAATATTGCGAGCGGTGAGGAGGGGGAAATTTTCCGCTCCGGCAAAGTTCACCCCCGCTCCACCAACGCCCAATCAAAGTTTGGCATCGCTAGACGCAAGTTCGCGAACGCTTGGGTCCGCTAGGCCAACGCAGAAATCTTGAACGCTTCACCACCGCTGCTTTCGCCAGCGTTGCCCGGGCGGCGATTAAACGTTGCACAAACGTTGCACAAACTTCGCTGGAGCGGTTGCAAGCGTTTTACGAGCGGACACGGGGTTGCTGGAACGGTGTCAGGCGTTGAAGCAGCGATCCATGTCGGCAATGAACTTTGGTTTGGCGTTGGTATAGAGGTGTCGGAGCGGGACCAGAATTTGGCTATAAGTACGGTGAGAAATGGACCAGGTGCTCATTTGGAATCGAGCTGCCGTTGACTTCAGGCCTCATCTATATCGAATTTGCTCGAAGTTACAGTAAAACTGTATCACCCTGGATGCTGAGAGACTTGCTATGATTGGTGCACTAGTGTGCAATTATTTTTGGGTCACACGTAAAGTGTTCAAAGAAGGGTCACACGGACAATCACTTTATTGGGGTCACAGGGGAACTTTGCAATCTGCAAAGTTTTATTTTCATTCTTAATTAAATAACGTAGTCAAGAATAGATTAACAAAATGATGTTTATTAAAGCTATAAGTCCCACACACACAGAACAGAACTTGTACTAGTACAAAACGATCCGTTCAACTCCGTAGTCACAAGCGGTATGCCGCTAAACCGCATGCGCAGAACGCCGCTATACCAACGCTTGCGTCACCGCTATACCAACGTTTGCTACCGCTAAACCAACGCTAAAGCAACGCCGGCTTTAGCGGTGCACCGCTAAGTCAACGCCCGTGTTTATATTTTTTTCCCCACATTTTGGGCGCGGTGACGAGCGTTGTCGAAATTCGGACCCCGTCCCTACCGTTAAAGGAACGCTCCAGCAAAGTTCGGCCAGTGTGACCGGGCCTTTATGGCAGTGGTGGTGACCTTGACTTGTCTTTGACTTTTAATGGTCGATCGGCAGAATGTCTTCGAAATGGGCCGGGATCTCCATGCATGCGCAAGTGTTGTTCTTTTTTTGCCCAACCTTGCACACCTGGGGATTAAAATTAGTCTGAAAAGAGCGGCGGCCCTGTAGCGTCTACCAGGCTTCGGAGGCTGCTGGAAGCTTCGAAGGAGTAGAATGTCAAATGTGCCAGGGGAGTTGGTCCGCTAATGGAGTACAGTTTGTTGTTATGAATACTACTTTCAACACCGGGGTTAAGCCTGTACTGTGACTTATAATTATGGTGTCACCCGGCCCATGTCATAAGTTATGTAGCGCGAGTTGGTGATAAAATTTGAAATTGGCAACAGTCGTTAGGAACATGAACACTATACTTCCTAGCTAGAGGTTTGGAATCTCAGATGTCTTGTTTGTACGTTGTGTCGCATCTCCCATCACCTTGCAATATAGATGCCTGATGAGTTAAGAAGCACAAGAAAAGAAGAATTCAAGCTTTTGGGACAGACGCCAAAAATTGATCATCGCTAAGTACCGACAAAGGCATCTCATTAGCCCACTGTAACTCGTGTAATGAGATATGGCCTATCTGACATTTAGACTGGTGACATGTGGCCGTTATGCCAAGGCAACGACTGAAGTAAAATGATATGACAAGAGCATTGTAGGCTAGGGTCACGCCAGTGGCACACTGTGCCTGGCCCTCCGA